TCAGAATACTATAACATTACTGTATGCAGGAAAAAAGGAACTAAAAAACCCACATATGTCCTTAATAGTCTGTGTAGAGGCAGATAATGTCTTCAAGGGTTTCAAGAGCATTACGATCACCAGTCTGTGGCAGAGATTCCACTGGCAGTCTCTACTTCTATACTGATTTACATCATTTGAGTGTCCAGTCTACCAACTGAACAACTAATGCGCTTTCACAAATACTAAATACTAGTGCTTTCAGTCTGGTTTTGGTAGGACATCATTTCACAGTAAAGGTAAAAATTGCGACCTTCAAACTATAAAGAACTTTTGCCCTGAGTAAACCTAGTGTCAGCCAGCCATGTTTTTCAAATGGTTTTACATGCAAATGGGAATTTATTTCCTACAGATTTGAGGTAAGCAGGTAAAAAAAGTTAAAAAAAATAGACTTCTGTAATGCCCCAGAACATGGCTTTAACAGAAAAACAAAGTTCATTAAAATAAAATTCTGGGAGTTAAGCAAGGACATTGCCCATTTGAGAAGGTGAAAGATCTTGGTAGCAGGACTTTGCAAAACACTTGTGTGTCCAACAAAATGAGGAAAGTGCTTCACAATGGTCTCCACATTATGGTAAACAGACCTCCCACATAGTATCATTTTATGTACTAGTATCTACATTTCTGGAACAGCTTAGGGATGGGAGAGTGCCAGCATTTTTGCATGCTTCCTGCATCCTGGGGATGGCAGCTGTGAAGTAGAGCAAGGCGCACTTTCTCTTGTATCTCTCAAATATAGTTCTGAATGCAACTTCTGTCATTAAGAAATATTTCCTAAGCAGACTCCATACCCCTATTTTCCATCTGATAATCGTCTCCTTGTGTTTGTGGTAAGTCAACATCCTTCATCTTTGCCTTATGAGGAAAAGCTATGGCTGTAAGCACTTCAAAATTCCCTTAGTGCTTGCAGATCCCTATGATAACAAACAACAGAAAGCATCTAACATGCTTTTTTCCTTTCCTTACAGAGACAAGCAGTTCACTCAGAAGAGGGCAGCTCTCATGCCAGCTTTCTGTCTGTACTATCTACTAAGCTATAGCACATGCTTATCTCTCAAATTTGGCAATGAAGAAAGGAGACGCATGATGCAGCACTATCCCTTTCTGGCTGTTGCAAGTGGAAGAAAGGGCAGGGTTTGTGTAACCCAAAGTCAGCACACACCGTAAGAGAACACAGGTGGGTAGCCTTATTTCCTTTTGATTATGGGGTGTTTGGAGCAAACTCAGACACTTTGCTTGAATGCAGCATCTCACTGGAGTCCCAGGAGTCACTCGTATGCACTACTACACAATGGAGAGGTCTGGCCCCATACTTGTGTTTGTGAGGTAACTGAGCAATGCTGAGCACCCACACCCAAGGTCTAGGGGGGCACTGAACTGAGTTTAGCAATTTGTTCCAACATCTTCACTCAGGCAAAGCTTTCAGTGATTTATAGCAGTGTGGAGAGAGGGCTTCAGCTGTAGCTTTCTTTAAATGTTCACATGCAATTGTTTTTCCTGGAGTTCTGAATAAAGTGTCATCACACTTCTCAACAGGGAAAAATTTTTGGATAAGCTATTCAGAGAAGCTGAAGAAATGTCCTCCAGGCACATGACTGTTAAACCCTGCTTCAGTTTTGGTAAAAGATCTGCCTTGATCCAACACATTTTCTATCTCATCCCTTTCCTCACCCCTCCCCTCTCTTCAAAGGGGCAGTCAGTGCCCTATGACACTGGATGGGCCCAAAGGAATGGCTACTTCCTCACACCTGCCTTTCCTATTAGCAGCAGCAGAGTCCTGGGTGCTATAGAAAGAACCCAGTGAAGCCACACAGAGCCAAATCTACGCAGAGACGGGGAACAGAGATGGGGAATAAGGCCACCTGCTAGGAAGTGGAAAGAGGACAGCAGAGGTATTTTCTTACTTCTTCCTCTCATATAACTTTCTTATAGCTCACTATAACTGACTGAGTCCATGAGACTCATCCTGCTCTTCACTGTGAAAACAAAGAGGAGCAGGAAGGCTTAAGGCTGGGAGAAAGAAGAGTTGATTTAGGAAATATGAGGAAAACAGAAAGAGAGCAACAGAGAAAAGAGAAAGGGTAAGAAAAAGAATGAGAAGTCACAACTATGGAGCTTAAGAAAAGGTCAGTGGTCAGAATACAAGGAATAAGGGGAAGAGTAGCATTAAAAAGCACAAGAATGAGTATGGAGAAAGAGAAAATTATGGCTACAACAACAAAAACCAGAAAGACTTAGAAAACACTTTGAAGGTGGCCATTGAGTGTTTTGAAAGAGTGTGAGTGGGAAAGAGGAATGCAAGAAGGGAAACCACCACAATGAGTTACACTTCACTGATGCACAGAAAATGAAAAGTGAAGTGCTAGCATCTAGTGTGCACCCAAAATTTTCCTTTAGGAAACCTTGGTCTTACCAAAGCAAAGGGGACATGGATGCCACAGGACACAATTTCAGCCTTTGTAATTAAGGTAGAGATGGGTCATGTGAGAAAGCCCTGCTGACTCCTAAGGGTACAGTTTTCCTTCCTAGTATTTCCATAGCTTCTGAAAGATTTCCGTACCTCACATTACCGCATTATAATATGAAGCAGGTTGGAATTTTGTTAGCTGCAAAGGGGGGATATTTCCTTCCCCCCTGTACACATCAGGCCCATCCCTACAGGCACAAAGGATTTATTCTTCCCTTTACAAATTACTTCACCAGCTGAGGAACTGCAATAGCTGCCAAACCCCCCAGAAGCCTGAGACCTCTGCCCCATCCCAGCAAGGCTGAAATGAGACAGGGGAGAGAGGAAGTGATTTATTTTGAAATAAGTGCTGCAGAGGCAGAGGTGGTGTGACTGGGCAGGGGAACAGGACACACACTGCAGGAGCAAGCAGAGAAAAGTTGGTAAGCTCTTATGTAGGATGAACCATTCCCTGCAGCATGCTGGGAGAGTTACTCAGGAGCCTGTGTGGGGATGGTGAACATTGCTGGTGAGAGCCCTCACCACTCTTCCCTCCAAACCACTTGTAACTCAGAGCCAGCACGTGATTGTGAACACCGCCAGCAAAACCAGAGGTTGAACCAGGTTTTGGGTTGGCTCCAGCTCTGTTTTGGGGTTGTCTGTAACCAAAGTTGCCCTCACCTAGTCCTGGTTCAAGTTCAGCCAATGGTCTAAAACAGTCCTGGTTCAGGCCTTGCTAGAGAAAAAGTCTGGAAAAAGTTTTCAGTCTGACTGCTGTATGTGTGTGCATCTGAGCAAAGCTGGTCTTCTGTGCTTGCTTGTCGTGAAAAATGATGAATTGCAGAAGTACCCATTTGGTGTTAGTCATTTGGTGCAGCAGGAAGGAAACAGGAAGCCCTTCTGAGCATTAACTTTTCAAAGCAGTTTGCAAAGAAAGCCAAAGCCCTCCTCCCTTAGGCTCCATAGCCACTCACTGCTCTTTATGCCATCACCTTAACGGGCACCTAGTCACAATTAACATTCACAACCCCTGCAGGCGGAAATATTTGCCCAGTGCAAACAGCTGAGGCATTTGGTGTCAGTCCTTTCTCTGTTAAAGGCATGTTAAAAAAGGGGGAGGGAAGAGGAGCCATACACTTGCCAAACGGGAGAGGCCTGATTGCACTCAACAGGTTCAGTTCACGCTGTGACCCTGCCCGGCTTCCTGCTATTCAGATGTGTTACTTCCCCTTTGTGGTAATGGCCTGTGGCAGCCGGCCAGAAAACACTATTAATTTCAGAAGTGGCCTGACAACAAACCCACAGCGAAACGAGAGGAAGTGGCGGGGAGGCCATCTGTTAACTTCAGCAGAACAGTAGGGACACAGCTATGTAGGTTCTACAAGGAAAGCAGATTAATAATCCACAAAGAGGAAACTGGCTAAAATTATCCACAGACCATATTAAAAAAAAAAAAAAAAAAAAAAAAAAACCAAGGGAGTCACTTGAGCTGCAGCTGGACAGGAAATTGCTAGAGCTGCTTGCAAATCTCCACTTTGAACAGAGCAGCATAGGGAATGCCAAGAGCGGAAACCGTTCAAAACTGGATTAGCACAAGCCAAGTTCAACTGCAACCCACTTCTACTTTTACAGTTTATGCACTCAATCTAGGCCACTACTGCATGAGACACTGACTCACTTTTTTCCCATGTCTTGTTTGCATTTCATTTCACACACTTGCAGTTTCTAAAATTACTTGAAATGTGCTCTGGCTGCCAGGAATTCTGCAGAACCTCAGCCGACAGCCCCAGCTGTAGCATCAGCCCCTCACCATGGAACTGCACACAGATTTTGGCACCACCCTACCTTGGGCCACTTTTCATCAGGAAGGATGTTAATGAATATAAGTTGCATCAGGAAGTTTTGCAATTGCTATAATCCCCCTTTTTCCTTCTGTAGACAGAACTACTTGAAGGGTCCAAAAAGGAAATGAGTTGACTAAGGCTAAAGACTAGAGACTTCTCCTTCATGCCTTCATTAAGTTGCAAGGTGGCTGAATGGCAACAGAAAAATAATTTACAGGCTGTAGACTGTTGATGGATCTCTGTGAAATGAGTTCTGTCAGACAGCTAAGGAGAGCACAGTCCCATCTCCTGGCATCTGTAGTAGAGTGACCAAAAAATCATAAACAAACCCAGAAAACAGCAGCTCCTTATTCTTAAAAATAATAATAATAATGAGAAAAAACTCTCATGGCCCAGGTGCATCCTCAGGGTAGTAAAGAGATGCTGGAATATTTTGCAACTAGCGTTAAGGCCTTCAAAAGCATTCCCTTCACAAAAGCAAGATGAGAATCCAGCACATGCACCATTTAGGCACCAGTGGACCGAAGGGGTAATCAAGGCTTTATTGTCTTAGGGGCTGTACAAAAGCTACTGAAAGTAATCATTATCTTTAAACATAACCATATGTGTATGTGCAATTAACCACACCCACACAGAGGCGAAGAAAAGGGGAATAAACCAGCCAGGTTCTCCATAGCCAAAAATAGTTATTTATTTATTAATAATTTAAGGTTTTACATTCTTATAATAAATTCCATCTTAAAACTTTTACACTGTGAATTAGACTCTCCCTTATTGGCAACCATGTGCAGGTTCACTGTGCGTACACGCAGGTACAAATGTTCGCACATACTTCCAGTTTTGTTTAAAAAAAAAGAAAAGACGCAAAATATTGCATTTGAGGTGAAGCTCCCTGAAGAATTTGTACAGAGGTAATGCACTGTTTAGCACATCTGAAAGTTTTAAAAAGTGATCAAAAATCTTTCGCGTTCAAAGACAAACCACCTCCCAGATGATCTATTTACAAAAGGTAAGGCAAAAAATTAATTTAATTTAAAAATATATATATATATGTATCATGTGGAACCTACATCAAAAGCATGAGAAAAAAAAAATCACCACAAGGAAAAGATATATGAAAGAAGAGACTCTACTTGCTCACAAAACATAATTTGCAAACTTCTCACCATTGCCATTTCTCCCTCATGGAAAGCTTGCTTCAATTGAAGAATAAAATCCAGCATGCTGCAAATATATTCTTTGCCATAAAAAAACCCCAACAACAACAACAAATAAAGCAGGATTTATGGAAAGAACAAAAACACAGGTGTCCCTTGGATTGATTTTTCAAATATATGTGAATTAAAAAAAAAAAATTGCAAATTGATTTAATGTTAAATATTTACATTGATCAAGTAGAATACTACCAAACTCCCAGCAAACAAGTACTCCAAATACACTAAGCTGAAATCTCTTTCTTTGGCTCCTCTAAATTAAAACAAACAAACAAAAATAACCAGTCTTCACTGAAGACAAAGATGTATGTCACAGATCTGAGAGCAGAGAGGGCAGGAGAGTTCCAGTCTCTAGAGAACATGTGCCCAGCCTGTCCAGCCTCACCCTATCCCCCTGGAAGTCCTCAGACCCAAGCCACTGCACAAGCAGGGATGAGCACACTGCCCACCTGCTGCCTGCTCGCTGTGGTCCTGCCCAGAGAGCTTGCCACATTCCCTCCCTTTCCAATAGCCGATTCCATACTGTGTAACCTTTCCTTGCCTTGCAGCTGCTTTTGACAGCAGAGGCCAGAAAAAGAGAAAGCTGCATTCCTTTATCACTGCCAAAGAGAAACCATTGAGGAGTGATCCCATGAAACGGACAGGAGAAGGGAGGTTGTAGGAGCTCACGTGGACTGCAGGGAATCCACCTGGAAGACGTTCTGGTTTGAAGGGGTGGTGAAGTACAGCTGCTGGTTCGGCACCCTGTTGTCACAGGGGCTGCTCAGTCCCAGAGTCCTCTCAAAGTCCAGCAGCTGGCCCATGAAGTTGAAGTTGGGCGAAATGTTGGACTTCTTCATCTTGACAATATCATAGGCATCATTCATGGATAAGTTCAGCTTCTGCATGAGGTAGGCCACCGTCACTGTGACCGAGCGGCTGATCCCTGCTAAGCAATGCACCAGGACTCCGCAGTTCTTCCCCCGTGCTTCATCTGTACAGACAAAGGCAGAGAAGGACACGTAAAACAGGGGCTTGGTAACTGATCTCTCAACACAAATGAGATTAGTATCACGTAGGAAGAAAGGATGAATCTGATCCCAGTGGTCAGCAGTGCAACTCAAGAGTTAACTTTAGTGGCTTAAAACCAGGACAAGAGGAGAATCCACTCCCCCTAGTACCCGAGTCCAAGAGCTGAGAAAGCTAAGAATGAGACAAAGGGAGCAGGACACGCTGCATGACACTGTTTTAAAAGTCAGTTTTAAAAGACACGCTTTTGCCTGTAGATGTGTCTTTAAATTCTTACAGTCCCCTTGCCCCAACATGGAAATCCTGCAATATGTCACTGAATGGCTTTTATACAGACTAGCAGACTGCAAAGGTCTATTAAATTATTCTCCAACTGTTGTGCAGCTAACAATGGAGGTATTCAGGCATTTTAAAAGAATGAGGGAAGTCACAGGGGACAACCCATTAGGAGGAACAGGATGTCAACATTGGTTGAAAATGGGTTCCTTTGTAATAGGAAATGCATTACAATGCCTGGAGATTAGTTTCTTTGTGGCTTCCAGCCCACATTTCTTCCTGCTGGGCTCAGATTACCTACATTCTCCACTATTACCGGTATCATTCAACCGGATCACAGCACAGCTTCCCAACAGATGCGATGCCCACCTCACCGCACCCCGATGGATGGTTTTAGTCCTCCCCGAAATTAAGGAGTGCGTACATTTCAACCAGAACTCTTTAGGCTCAGGGGGACGGGTTTCCAGAGCTGATGGGTGATGTTTAAGGGCCGGCTGACTGAGGCACTGGGCCCGAAGGGTATATTATTATTACCACGAGATTTAATTAAAGCTCTGACTATACACTTGTCAGAGATACCGCTTATGAATAATTTGCATTTAAAAGCTAAAGTTAGCTTCCCAGATCGTTTCTTTTTGTTATACTGCTCTTCAGTAACCTCAAGAAGAAAAAAAAAAAAAAAACAACAAAAACAAAACAACAAAACGACAAAACCAATCAATAAAAATAAAAAAACAAGGGCAAATAGCCATCAACTAGGCTCATTTTCCCCCCACCTCCACCCAGCCAGGAACTGATTTAAGAAGATCCCCCATCCTTCGAGTGCTCAGTCTCCAGCTCCACCACAAACGGCTCAGGGAGGAATTCCACAGCCAGACAAACCAGGTATGCTTTTGCAACCTGCAAAAGTCGCTTACAATTCACCGGGGCTCCTCAATAACCCCAAACAGTCCCCAACCGCCCCTCAACTTAAGCCAGCTTTAAAAACAGAAAAGAGGGCATTCTCCAGAGACTGCCATAAACGCTGCTACCGCTTCTCGCCCGAAATCTCCCAAATTCTGCCTCCTGACATAAAACTGTTAGCAAATAACGAAGTCTCACCTATAAAGGAGATGGCCTCAGGAAAGAACTGAGACAGATTTTGGCTCCAGTGGTCAGAGATCGGAATCTGTTTGTACTTGAATTCACCGGCATTTTCAAAGAGATTGGGCAGGTTAGGGGTAACATTCAAGATGTACTTAATGCCGAACTCTTCTAAAACGTCCAAATTAGTGGAGTCCTTGGCACAGCCTAAGTAGAGGTAGGGTAAAATTTCCACCGGGAAGGAAGGCTGGTTGTTGGAGAGAGGGCTGCCATCGGAGTCGGTGGCACTATTGGGGTCTCTGTCAATGTCAGATTCAACGTCTGATGATGAATCGGAGCTGATTCGGAGGCCTCCCAAGCCCAGGACTGGCAAAGGAGGAGAGCTGCTGCTACACGAACTGTCTAGGTTAGTTTCGCAGTGCAAGGCGAACTCGGCCTGGAACTTGCTAAAACCACCTGGAATAAAAAGCAAAGAGGGAAAAAAAAATGCAGCCTGATATAAGAAGGCAAGTCAACTTACTTCCCTGGTACAGCCCTGTCTGCAAAGGGACGTCTGTTTCGCACCCTCTCGAGCTCCGGGAAAAAGAAGAAAAAAAATGTCACACACTCACGCAGACATTCTAACTTAAAGGAAAGGCTAAGAAAATCGCCCGCTGCGGCGGAGGGCTCAGCACATTCAAGATTAAAGCTCTGTGCCGCTTCGCCCTGCGGGGACCTCTGAAGAGATGTCTCGGCAATTCCTTCTGCCGGGCTCATGCTGGGATCCCTGTTAGTCCTGTCTTCCCCACGCTGCCAGAGTGATTCCAGATCTCGAGGTCTCCCTAAATCGAAGCGAGTTCAGGGATGGCGGGGGGAGGCGGGGGGGATGAAGCGGGCGGAAAAGCCCCCTATACAGATCAGTGCCCTCCTGGAGCGTCAGTGCACTGCCTGGAGGACGCTGCAGACTCATCCCCCACTCTCTTCCCCGGGTAGAGAGCCTCGAGGCTCGGTCCCCGTCCCCCACAGCCTCGGGCCCTAGGCAGAGATCTCTCCCCCAACCCCGCGCGGCCCTTCTCACCTTCCAGATAAAATGCCTTGCAGCCTTCATCTTTGAGGCGCTTGAGGAGCAGCCCCAGCACAGACTCGCCGCCCGTGTTCTCGTTCCAGTCGCGGCTGTGCTCATCGTACAGCACTACCGTGTCGGTGCCACACCGGCGGGCGAAGCGCTCCCGGTCCTCCTCGCTGCTGGCGACGAGGGACCGCAGGGGCAGGTTGCCCTTCTGCAGCCGCCGCAGCATGATGCCAGGAATGGCCACGTTGATGGCCGACTCGATGTGGGACGACTCGTATAACTCCTGCGGCCGACAGTCCATCAGCAGTAGCCGGTCGTTGCCCATCTCCAGCTGCTCGTTCAGCCACGCCACCGATTTACTAATCGCCATTTCCGACGCGAAAGGGACGGGTCTGAACGTATCTAGCATGAGGAA